CCCTGGAGCGGCCCGCGCTTGCAGCAGCCGCCCCTGGACCCCTGCAGCAGCCTGTGGCGCCCCCCCGGGGCCCGTGTGGGCCGCTTGTGCAGCAGCCGCCCCTGGAGCAGCCCGCACCTGGAGCAGTCCACCCCTGCAGCAGCCGCCCCTGGAGCAGCCCGCACCTGCAGCAGCCGCCCCTGGAGCAGCCGCCCCTGCAGCAGCCGCCCCTGGAGCAGCCGCCCCTGCAGCAGCCGCCCCTGGAGCAGCCCGCACCTGCAGCAGCCGCCCCTGGAGCAGCCCGTGCCTGCAGCAGCCGCCCCAGGACCCGCGCGAGCCGCCCCTGCAGAAGCCCGTCCCGTCCCCCCCTCCCCCCCCCGTGCTGCCCATTGCTCCCATTCCGCCGTGCGTTCCGCGGTGGTGGGGATATGGGGTGGCGAGCATGGGGGTGAGAGGTGTGGGTTCTCCTCCTCCTCCTCCTTCGTCTCCCACTGCTGCAGCTGCCGCTGAGGGGGGGTGGAGGTGTGGGAGTCGTGGGGAGTGGCGCTAGGGGGGTGATGTGGGAGTGGAGCTAGGGGTGAAACTGGGGGGTGTGTGAGAGGGGTGTGGGACTGTTGGGGGAGGTTGAGTGAAGGCTGCCGTCTTGTCGTCCGCAGCACCTGTAGTCCGGGGCGCACTGTCCTGGTAGCTCAGAGAGCCTGCTGCACCTGTTGCCCGTGGGTCCGTTGCTCCTGCCGCTCGTCGCAGCCGCAGAGCCTGTTACTCCTGTATTCCGGGGCGCACTGTCTCGGTAGCCACTGAGAGCCTGCTGCACCAGTCGCCCGTGGGTCCGTTGCTTCTGCCGCTCGTCGTAGCCGCAGAGCCAGTTACTCCAGTATTCCGGGGCGCTCTGTCTCGGTAGCCACTGTGTCAGCCGCCACTGTGTCAGCCACTTCTGTTGCCCGTGTGTCTGCAGCTTCAGTCGTTGCCTCCCATCTTCTCTCCTCTCACAGTTCCTCCTCCTCCTCACTTGCCCGCTGTGACTACCACTAGCTTTGCTCATATTTATGAACTATTGCTATGACTGCTCATTGTGCTGATTATACCCCACTTTGGCTATGGGGGTGTGTCAGAATATGTTGTTTGTGTAGCCTGCAGTGGGGTACTCAATAGTGAGTACAGCCCCTTAGGGTTTGCTATTTGTATCCTGCTGCTTAGTTCATTCATCCCTTCCTCATTTCTGTTCGTGCACATAACACTCGCTCATACTTGGCGCCTCGTTCTAGTCTTCCTGTGGCCTAGGCTACTAAGCCTAGGCCCAACTACTTAGTATCTTTGACATTGCCAAGTCAGGAACGACAGGTAAAAATAGCATGCCATGTGATTTTTTACCTAATTAGGAACAGTTGTTCATGTTCATGCAATATTTGCCAGTTACACATGCTTCGCTTGTACAATATAGTTACTTCCTTTGATTCGGTCCGATTCTGTTTCGCGTGTCAATGTCGACGACGGAGTGCGCATCGCGAATATATCACTTCCGAATTCAGGACCTAGTTCGTTTCTGCCATGTGCTATGTTTTCGTGCCTTCTGCAGTTTCGTAACAGCACAGCACCTGCGCAAAACTCCACAGTAGTGAACAACTTCCCAAGGGCGCGAAAACCGCCCCAGAACAGACGCAAAACCTCGTTCCCGCGCAGGCGCGAACCCAGCATGCAGTGCGAACATTTTCGCGGCTGCGGGAGCACGCTATATTGGGAGGGCACTTTTCGTCCGGAACCCTCACGCACGAAACAGGCGCGTGCAGGGCCTTCTGCGTCAACATCCCTTGCCCGGCCTAGCAGGCCAAACGACCTCTGCCTGCCTGAGCTGCCTTAGCCACCCTTGGCTGCCCAAGCCACCCTGGCCTGCCCTTTGATCTCTCACATCTAGTGTGACGCCAATACTACTCCTGGTGTTATTATGATGAATTATCGAATCCTTTGCTTCGATATTGATGGGGCGTGCAATTGAATTCCATCATTTCGGACCACGACCCTCGTTTCACATCGAAGCTCTTGAGGCAGCTTTCTGCACTGTTTGAGAATTCCTTGGTTATATAGTCCGCTTACCATCTAGAGACGGACGGAGATACTGACCGCATTAACCTTTGAATGAATATTTACTGTTTAAAATGTATTTACCCTAAACAATTGCTCGAGTCCCACCCATCCATATCTTCACTCCCAGGCACCCCGTTTCACTTTGAGTCTCTTGCATTTCCCTTTCTTGTCCCACAAACCACTTTCCAACATTTGTCGTGATATTCTATACCAACCATGCTTGTATTCGCAAACATTGAACTTGTAATGAATACACATTCATTACTGTAGAGGCTGTTCCTAGCGAGGACAGCCCGAACAGTTCGCGTCAGCTAGGTTCGGCCTACACTTCCGTGCCGAACCTATTCCGAGTCGCCCATCACCAATCGCGACATTTCCGAGCCACGCACTTCACGAGGTCCTCGCCTAGCACGGTTTCGACCCTATAAACGCGTGCTTCTTTATCATTCTTGATCATTCTGTAATCACATCTTCTTTATAAAGTCTTCCGCGCACTCTGTCTAGTAAAACTCATAACACTTGGTATCAGAGCTACTTTCCTAGCTTCCTTGTTTTTTAGAGTGTATTACCCCTCAAGGGGGGGACAGGGAAGGATGCCGTGGTGACAGGAGCAGTGTAGTAGCCGGCCAGGAGAACGGATAGTTACTCCTAGCGGCCATGGATTTTACGGGCGCTCCTGCTGCACCGACGGATCCTTGCCCTCGACGGTCAAGATCGACCGTGGCCTCCCTCCCCCCGGGTGGCGGACAGCTTTTGCTGTCGTCGCATTGATTGCGTGAGTTAACAGTGCTCATTTTCGGAGTTATTACTGTGTAGCGGCTGACGTCGACAGGATCGTCATCGGCGCACGTCCGGGATTGTCGGAAGCGACCGTTGTGCGAGTTGACGTCGGCACGTGTTCGTCAACTGCGCACGAGATTTTCAGTAGCGACTTCATGCAGCAAGTAGCGTTGGGGCGTCTTCGTCACGATGCGCATGAGGCCGTCCGACGTCTTCGGCAAGTGACATGCATCGTCACTGTGCGCGAAGATTTCGGGTAGCAGCACGTGGGAAACGACTGCTGGTTGAGCAACCAGGCGCAATGTGTGATTTGCGTCGGAAAATCGGACGGCGAGGAGAGGCGGCGTGACGACTGCCCGAAGAAAGCGGGGGTTTTCCGTCGTCCCACCCGGGTGCAGCGGCGTTCTGCAGGAGGGTGCGTCGTGGGCGATTTTCGGCAGAGCGGCACAGTGTGGGATGGAAGTCGTTCATCAAACCACCGAAAAGTTCGGAAAAGGCCGCCTACGACCAGACTGTTCCGGCTTGGGTGACTACTGTTTCTGGCACAATGTTAATCGACAAAAATTTCGGAGCAACAGTGGCAGCCGATTCTACACTTCACGCGGCACAGTTCCCTCCGGCCAGAGGTACCTGTGTTTGCAGACAGCCCAGTACACCACGGAACAACGATTCGGCGCAGCGTTTAGACCCGCGAATTTCGAGGGTTCTACCGGCTACAATAAACGGAGTTGCGACTAATACGGGTCCGGCGAGAGAAATGGGTTCCAACTTCAGGAGGCAAGAAAACGACCTACTGCGACGACTTTAGCTGAGGCCGGGTTTCGCGGCTAAGCGGCGGTAGCAGAAGGAGCTCCCTACCGGCCAAGTCTACCAACGTTTCACATACCTCACACCATGTACCTTGAAGGCGTTATAAGACCTGTTGGTCCTGGACGAAAATGGTGGGGCCCTGTGTTTAGCCCTGTGCTGGTTAGAAAGGCGTGGGTGGCGCTGGTTCGACAGCAGGGCGTTCAAGAAAAAACTTCAAGGATGCAGCACTGTTTCGGCCCCGACAAAACAGGACCATCGGCAACAGTACCCGCCGAAGAGTCGGGGTTGAAGAAATCGTGGCAGCTGGCGGGGTTTCTCCTGATTCAACAGGTCTACCCGACGAAGGTGTAGCGGCGAAACGGAGTTCCCGAAAGCTGTGGAGTTTTAAGCGATAGGCACGGTGGGCAGCGAAGCGGCCGGGCGGGCGTTTGATATGATAAACTCACCCCGGCTACAATAGTGTTCGTGCCTGCATCGAACGCCATAAAAATCGCAGGCAACACGGAGTTATGCCTCATCCGACAAACGCGGCTGCTGGGTGAACGGTGGCTCGCCGATATTGTCGGGGGGTGAAACGAAAAAATCGACGGTGGGAGACGGGTGAACGTCTACTCGCCAAACGACTTCTCGGTGTACTTCGAAGCAGTCTGGGGAAGTTCTGCTGCGAGATCTGCGGTGTTGATGCGCGCTAAGGTCCGTGAAAATCGGTCTCGGAAGACCCATAAGTACTGGGTTCCACGCCGAAAAAGCACCTCCTGTTGGTGGGTAGCTTGGGTGGTTAACCGCACGAAAAAAATGGTGACCGGGTGGGCGTGCTAGAAACACCGGTTCTTTTCGGGGGACAACCTGTAGGCGACCAAGATTTACGTGGTGCGTTAATTTCCGACATTTACGTGTGCAACGAGCAGTTCCGAGAAGAGTCTTAACGGAGTCAGCGGGGTCGCTGACAGTATCCGTGCAGCGTTGCTTGATTAAGCGCGCGAAACGCACTCGTCGTCAAATGTGTAGCCGTACAAATCGGAAGCTGCTCGGGGGTACCAGCCGCAACACGGGTGAAATTTCTAGCAACAGGTGGGGGGGGGAAGGACATCTTTTTCACCTCTGCCCCGAAGTTCTCGGTGAGTCACGACAACGTCGCCGAGGTAGCTGACGTCATCGGCAGTCAAGTTCAACTGCATAAAACATGTTTGCGTGGTCAGGGGGAGGAGCAGCAGCTATATTTCGCCTCTGCCCGGGAGTTTTCGGAAGATCTGGACAAATGCCTCGGCGAGCCACGACAAGACCGCCGGAGGTGCTGACATCATCGGGACCTGAGTTCAAGTTTTCGATTGAGTTTTCGGGGTTAAGAAATGCAGGTTACATGACTTCGCTTGCCTCGCCGAACGTCGCTGACGTGCTAATAACGACTTCGCAATTTTCGCGACAGCTTCGACGACGAACTACACGACCTGGGGTCACGACCGGAGGAGTCTTCGGATAGTTCTGAAACCGCCCAACACCGACAAAAAAAACAGCACGTGATCTTCGAGTAGCAGCTGCTGACAGCTGGAGCTGCAGCAATTGCAGATTTCGATTTCTTCAGCAGCAGTTTCGACAACAAGACAACAGCAGTGATTCTCGTATTGCAGATGCTGCCAGCTGGGGATGCTGCAGCAGTCGGGATATTCTCACAGGTTGGCGACAACAAGAATGTTTTCATCGCGGGAAATTCTACGACAGGCTTCGACGGCTTTTACCCAGGGTATTTGTCGGAGTTTTTTGACAGTGGAAATTTCACCACCGACTACATTTCGACAGTGCAGCTGCTAACATTTCGACGGAATTTATAACACTTGGTGTTTTGACTACACACGGCGGCAGGGTAGTTAGCGTTTTCTGCCCGCGCAGCTGTCCTACACTGGGGGTCTACCCTTCTCGTGCAAGGGGGGGGGGGGTGGGGGGAGAAAGCATTATTTTCGCGCTGTACTTGGCAACTCTGACAGTTTCGTCAGACACTGACAGCACGACGGACGCACGGGATGGCTTCTTCAGCATCAACGGCTTCGGATTCACCGACATCTGACATCGTGTCAGAATTTCACCGACATCAACAGCGTCACTACCGTCCGATTCGCCCTCGCTACATCAACGACTTCGATTCCATCGCGTATTCAATTCGCCAATTCAATCGCGATCATCCGATCGACATCGATCAACATCTACGGCTGACATTCCAATTCGCCTGGTCAACGCGTTCAGCGACGCGTCAGCTCGAAAATCAATGGGTTTTCTACACCGTCAGATCAGCTTCGACCGAGATCTGCAGTTTTCACGCTACTGCAAGACTCGTCTTCGTATAAGTGCACCTTATTTAGAAGGTGGGAGAGTGTAATGAATACACATTAATTACTGTAGAGGCTGTTCCTAGCGAGGACAGCCCGAACAGTTCGCGTCAGCTGGGTTCGGCCTACACTTCCGCACCGAACCTATTCCGAGTCGCCCATCACCAATCGCGACATTTCCGAGCCACGAACTTCACGAGGTCCTCGCCTAGCACGGTTTTGACCCTATAAATACGTGCTCCTTTATCATTCTTGATCATTCTGTAATCACATCTTCTTTATAAAGTCTTCCGCGCACTCTGTCTAGTAAAACTCATAACAGTACTATTATAGCTAGATTCCAACCAAGTAACTTCTCTGATATCGCGAATTCGCACTTTTTGTTTTTTCGCCAAAGCCCTCCGCCGCATTTCATACTCGACACAGTCGATCCCACTATTCTTATCGCCCTTAGAGCTCGCCCTTATGTCATTTCCTCTCAGTACCCATTTCGACCAGATTAGAGATATATTTGACCGTGAAGCATCGAGTTGAGCCGCATCCAAACGAGCGAATAGGACGCGCCCTAACATCATGCCCCCGAATCACGTTCGTTCGTGACACGAGTCACCCTCGCCTCTTCGCATCGCGTCTCGCGTGGCATGTACCACCCATAAAATTCCCCACTCGTTCCTCCACCTCATCCACAAGTCACGTGCTTGCTGTGCTGGAATTGCTCCTTGCCACGCATGCAAGGTTCCTGCACCGCCCACGACGACAGCTTTCAGCCCAGCAGTTCGTTCCCCCAACCAAACCAAACCAGCCAGCACGTTCTCGCAGGACTGGGTGAAAGTACATTACAGACTTGGGTTCCTTCCTGCATGCCACCATGGCGTCCCGCAGGGCGCTACGACGTCTGCTAGCATGCGGCGCTCTCCGTTCCAATCTCCGCGCGCCGCCACCTCCGCCGACTCTCGCCGCGCTGCCCGTCGTCCCGCAACACGCCTCTCTCTCGCCTCTCGCGCGCGGTCTCACCGTTCCTGCGCTCGTCGTTCCACCGTGCCCTCCCACCCGCGCGAGTCAGTCCACTCACCCTCCCAGAGCATCCTCGCTTCACGCATGCCGCGGCAAGCACCAGCAAGCACCGCGGCAAGCACCGGCGCATGTCGGAGCGCAGACTGGGTGCCTCGCACCAACCGCACTGCACATGTAGCTTTCGACCGTCACGGAGCGCGTTTTGTACCGCCCCGCCCTCCGTCCCCCGCTCTCCTTTTCACGCGCACGTGTCCTCCTCTCTCCCCCCCTTCTTTCCCCTCCCCGCCCCGCCTCCCCAGCATGGGCGCTACCGCAGGCAGTATCGGCGCGCGCGCTGCAGAGCTTCCCCGCGCGGGGAGCGGGGCTCGGCGCCGTGCGCCACATGGCGTGACGCTCGGGGCTGTCCGCGCCGCCCCCGCCTGAGGTGGGCGTGGCTGGGGCGGGAAGAATCGTAGGGCGCGGGTGGGAAAGGGGGGGTGAGGAAGGGGGGGAGGGAGAGGGGAGGAAGAGAGTGTGGGGGAAGGAAGGAGGCGGGGAATGCGCATGGCGTATTGCGTCGACAGGCATGAGCGCGCCTTATCAGCCAGCATACTAGGTATGGCGCGAGCGCGCGCACGCGGGGGGAGCGGGCATAGGAGCGCGCGCAGAGCTGGGATGGGCGGCGCAGATGGCGCGCGTGACCGCGGTGCCGCCGTGGCATGGGATTCCTGATGCATTCAAGTCGTGCATGTGCGCTGGATTGGCCGCTGAGCGCTGGAGCACTAGCGCTAACCGCACTAGTGCCTATGCACCACGCTTGCATGTATGCATGCCTGCTTGTGCATCTGTGTATGTGTTTGCATGCGCGTCCGTGGCAGGTGGTGGTGGAGACGACGATGAGGACACGGATGCTCGTGAGTCGTGCCATGCGTGTGCGCCGGTGAGGCCGCGGATCGCTGGAACACTAACCCCTGGATTCGCGCTTGTGTGCGTGCCTGCATGCATGTGCATGTGCGTGTGCATGTGCATGTGCATGTGCGTCCGTGGCAGGTGGTGGTGGAGTATGACGACGATGACACGGATGCTCGTGACCGATTCATCGCCGTTGCTGACTACTTGGGTGAGCCCCTCCCGTCCACACACATGCTATGCCACAGCACTTGCCATGCCACCACTACCCGCCACCATGCCATATCAATTGCGCCACATCGTGAAATGTGACGGCCGGCCACGTGCTGCCACACACCAGTACCTACCGTCACGCCCATTTCTCAACTCTCTCTCAACCCCGCTGAACCCAGCCCACCTTCTCCTTCCCCAACTTGCCACGGTTACCTTCTCACCTCACCCTGCGCTTTTCTGCCATTTGTGTGCGCTTTTCTCCCCTCACCCGCTGTGATGCACTGCTGGGCGTGCAGAGGAGCGCTTCCCCGCCATCATGGTCACGGGCAATCCCGAGGGCTCCCAGGCCAGGTGCGCCATGGGGCGCAGGGTGGGGGGGGGGGGCATGGGCGCAGCGGGGGTATGGGCGCAGGGGGGGCATGGGGCGCAGGGGGGGGATGGGACAGTGGGAAGCAGAGATCATCGTTGCCAAGGCACAGGGCTGTGCCATGCAAGCAGGTGGGCTGTGAGACAGCAACCACGTCCCCACTGCCCTTTGAGTTGCTTCAGCCACGGCCGCGCATCACCAATGGCTGGCATGGCATGCAGCATGCGCAGCACATGATGGCACAAACATGGCAATGGCGTAACGTGTCCTCCCCCTCGTGCATGTGCGTTGCTGCAGGCGTGGGTCGTTTGAGGTCTCCTTTGGCCACTCCCTGCTCTTCTCCCGCCTTCAGGTGACCCATGCTCACTGCCCATGCATGTGCACCATACGCCTTGCATGTGCACCAAATGGTTTGCATGTGCACCATACGCCTTGCATGTGCACCAAATGGTTTGCATGTGCACCATACGCCTTGTATGTGCACCAAATGGTTTGCATGTGCACCATACGCCTTGCATGTGCACCATACGCCTTGCATGTGCACCAAATGGTTTGCATGTGCACCATACGCCTTGTATGTGCACCAAATGGTTTGCATGTGCACCATACGCCTTGCATGTGCACCACAAGCTGCCATGCACGCTCATGTTGCCACACTTGTGCGCCACACAGGACGTGCCAATACCTGCTGCCTTTTCTTGGATTGGAGTGCCTACTCTCCATCCGTTTCCTTGGATTGTAACCCCGGCATGCTTGCATACTGCACGATGCATTCGCCCTGGGAAAATGCAGCACAGATAAAGCAGTTCTTCCCTGCCTCCCCCCCTCCGTCTCTCTACCGCTCTGCAGCTGGAGCGCCTGCCGTCCCCGGAGGAGCTAGAGGGCCCGCTGGAGCCGCTGCTGGGTGATGCGCAACCTGAGTAGACCTCCGTCCCTCTTCTCCTGCCTCCTGCCTCCTGCCATGCATGCCATGCCGTTCCATGCCATGCCATGCCTGCGGCGGTGGGTGGGTGAGCAGATAAGTGGGTCCCTTAAATGTGCCCCACGCGTGGCGTGGTACTGGGCCGCCATCTTGATATGAAGCTGGTACCCGCAACCCCTCACGGGGTGGCTACCAGCGGACCCCGTAAGATGGCCCGCTCTCACCTGCTACCGTGATCGCATTTAGGGGACCTGCTTGCTATTGAAACTATATTTTATTAACACACATTGTGTTGTGTTATTCAATTTTGTATATTATCAAGTCGTGCTAACTGCTTTTCTCCAACAACAAATCTGTGAGGGTTCATTCATTCCCCTTCATCCATGTTTCTCTACCGTATTTCCAAAAGTTCATCCATCATTCCAACCACCCACCTCCACATGACTGCAATGAATAGCCACTTGAACATCAAGGTACCGTATTCTCCCGGATATAAGATCCTAGGGTCTTATGGAAAATTCAGAGAAAAAAAGGGGGGGGTCTTATCAATGGCTTAGAAATCTATAGTACCCGGGTCTTATCATATGGACATATTTTTTAAAAGTGTATTTGACTCATTAGCTGTTGTGGGTGCTTCAGCATTTTTCTTTATCATGGATAGGACCGCGGTTGTGCGTATTTCGCGATTCAATCCGGGTGTGGCTTCTCATTGGTCGAAATGGCACATTTAGGGTGATGTAGCGTTACATGGCAAGATTCCTTGCCTTGTCATCGTGCATTCCAACCTTGGCGGTCTAGAACATGCACGACTCGCGAGCATGGGCTGCACGAGAGACCTTGGAGCGGCCCCCACGGTTCTGGGTGGCGCACGTCAACGTCACAACCGCACCATGGCTTCTGCTCTGATTGTTTCTTCATCTCTGCACGAAGCTGTTTTCTGCTCGGCAGACTCTTTGTGCATCCCCCGTACCGCAGATGGCCGTCGGCCAGTACTTAGAGCGTTAGCATTCGCGTTAGAAAATCAGTAGTGATGGTGACTTCTCCTGACTCTGGGATATCACATTAAAGGCGCCCTCGTCCTACAGCCGCTAATCAAGCCGCACATGCTAGAGCTTCACCTCGGCCCGTTATGCCAACGTCTTCACCGTCCAGTAGTGATCGTACTGTTAGTGCCAATGGCACTCCCCTGCAACACCCCTCACTTCCGAGAGTCGTTATCCCAGTTTTCCCGCAGTCAAGTCGTCCTCAAGGCATGAAGAAGAGAGTCCTGGATGCCGCGCCTCCCTCACCTCGTCATAGGATGACCAAGCGGACCCGGCATGCGTTTACCGCTAAGGAGAAGCTTCACTGGCTGGCCATGCTGGATTCTCAACCAGATCTCAGCATCCGCGGCTTGGCGAGGCTCGCCAAGGTGCAGCCGAAGCAGATCCGCGAGTGGAAGAGGCTTAAGGAGCGCCTCGAAGTCTCCGCTGGATGTCGCCGCCGGCTTCACGGTGGCGGACGGAAGGCGAAGTGGCCCGCGATGGAAAGGGCAGTGTACCGCCAGTTCCTTGCGCACCGTGCCAAGGGGTTGGCGGTTCCGCTGAGCTTGCTCCGTAAGTGGTCATTGAAGTACATGAAGCACCGCCAGCCTGCTGCTGATTTCCGCGCGTCTGCGCGGTGGACCTTTCGCTTTCGCGTGCGGTGGTCCTTGGCGAAACGCGTGAAGACCAAGATGGGGCAGAAACTCACAGCAAGTAAGCCTCCATCTCTTACCGTTATCCCCTTGCCTTAACGGTTGGAAGCACAAAAGATTGCTTAGTAATGTCTGCTTGATTGCCTACTGATTCTTTTGTGTTGTGTGACGCAGATTGCAAGGGAAAGGTTGAAGCCTTTTGGGAATTCGTCCGCCAGATGCGCGTACTCCATCGGTTTCCGGCGAGTCTGATCGTGAATGCCGACCAGACACCTCTCTTCCTGGAGATGCCAGCGGAACGCACCCTCGAAATGAAAGGCGCCCGCACCGTGCATGTCAGGACTGCAGGGTACGAAAAGGAGCGCGTCACTGTCATGCTGGCAGTGACGGCTGACGGCCTCAAGCTCCCGCCGTACGTCATCTTCAAGCGCAAGACGGTGCCACGGATCGTGGTGCCACCAGGTGAGCCGGTAGGATGTGTACCGCTACCAACACCATTATCTCAATCGCGATGTTACTAACACAGATCGTGTCTTGCGCAGGTGTAGTCATCCGCGCCCAAGACAAGGGCTGGATGGATGAGCGCCTTGTCCAGGGCTGGACGACCCAGGTGCTCGTCCCGTTCTTGAAGCCGCTGCGGGATGAGGAGGGAAGGCGCAAGCAGGTGCTACTCGTCCTTGACTCGTACAGGGGTCACCTCACCGAAGGCACAGGCCAGACGCTGAAGATGTTCAAGGTGACGCGTGCCGTAATCCTTGGCGGTTGCACCCCCCTGGTGCAGCCGCTCGATGTCTCCATCAACCGTAGCTTCAAGTGCGGGGTTCGCCACCGCTATAGCACTTGGTTCGAGGAGGTGGGGATCGGCCTCACCACACGTGCAGGTGAGGGTTTGTTCCTTGTGTCTTGCCACAGGCCGTCCTTGTTTGATCCTGATGACATGCAAACCAACACCCCATGTGTTGCCCCACAGGGAACATGAAGAAGCCCCCGCCTGAAACCGTGCTTAAGTGGATTGCAGAGGCGTGGGCTGATGTGCCAGAGGAGCTGGTGAGGAAGGCATTCCTCACCACCGGCATCTCCAACGCTGAAGACGGGAGCGAGGATCATCTGATCCTCGCTCACATGCGGGATAATGCCGAGGTGGAGGTGATGGAGGATGTTCTCGAGGAGGCAGAGGATGGTCCCCTCCCCAACCCGTTCTACGAAGACCCTGCAGACGCCCCTGAGCCCGCAGCCACCGAGGGGGAGGAGGAGGAAGAGGCCGAGCCTGGGCTTGATGGGGAGGCGGATGGGGTGGATGCTGCGGCGGAGGGGCTTGAGGCGGCATCCCTGGAGGATGAGGAGGAGGATGAGGCAGATAAGGTGATGGGAGATGCTGACGAATGGAGCGACGCTGGGGAGGAGTGGTGGGCCCCTGGCCGTTATGATGGGGAGGAAGTGGAGGAGTGGGTGGCAGGCCAGGAGTAGGACTGATGTGGTATGCTGCAGCATGCATGCACTGTGATCCTTGAACAATCAACCCTGTGTGGGTTTATGGACATCAAAATCTCTTAGCACTATTAGTGTGGGCACGAAAACGAACAAGTAATATTACCCCCTCAAGGGGGGGGGTATAGTGGAAACCTGCCAAAATAAAAGACCCACCCCCGTATTACAGACCCGGGGGTCTTGTTTTCTGGAGGGTCTTATATCCGGGAGAATACGGTACACCCAATCTGACTCACATCCAGCTCCTGACAGCTCCTGCTGACTGGACCCGCATCCGTCCGAATGTGAAGGGAACCGAATCTGCAACACATCCGCCTGCTAAAGTAAAAATCGTTACAGCGTTTTGAACACATTTCAAAATTTAAAGTTTACGTGCGCTTATAATAAAACAAGTTTTTTCAGGGGGTACGCCTATAATCGAGGAGCGGATATAAGCACTATGTGCCAATTAAAAGCGCCAGGCGCTTATCCGAGGGTGGCGCTTATATCCGGGGTATGACGGTAACAGAGATACCGTCATCGCCCGGATATAAGACATATATGTCTTATCTCGTACACGGGCAAAAATGCTTGGGTTGTCTTGTATTTGTGACAGCAAAAATGTTTGGGTGTCTTATAAGTCATATAAATGGACAGAGAACCGTTTAGAATATAATTCCTCGTTACATTTGCCCCTAGCCCCTACATTCAGGGCCCACGATATCAAGGCAAAACTGTCGAACTATATCTGTGCTAGTTATGTCTAGGCTATCGCAAGGTAGCCCATATGGGGTACAACCCAATATTAGGGTTAGTACTTGTACCCACAATCCACTCAATACAATCATTTCTGCTTGCTATCTTGACATGGTTTCCGGGCCCACCATACTTCGCGCTGTTCTGCGCACACCCTGCCTTGCCCTGCGTCGCGCTGCCTCGCGCACGCCCTGCCCTGCGCCAGCGCCCTGCCCTGCGCCGGCGCCCTGCCCTGCGCCACCGTGCCGCCCTGCGCCAGCGCCCTGCCCTGCGCCAGCGCCCTGCCCTGCGCCAGCGCCCTGCCCTGCGCCAGCGCCCTGCCCTGCGCCAGCGCCCTTCCCTACGCCAGCGCCCTGCCCTGCGCCGGCGCCCTGCCCTGCGCCAGCGCCCTGCCCTGCGCCAGCGCCCTGCCCTACGCCCGCGCTGCTGCCCTGCGCGTCGCACCCTACGGCAGCCCGCGCGTCGCACGCTGCTGCCCAGCGCATCGCGCCCTACGGCAGCCCGCGCGTCGCGCGCTGCTGCCCCGCGCGTTGCGCCCTACGGCAGCCCGCGCGTCGCGCGCTGCTGCCCAGCGCATTGCACCCTACGGCAGCACGCGCGTCGAGCGCTGCTGGCCCGCGCGTCACGCGCTACTGCCCTGCGCGTCGCGCGCTGCTACAGCCAGCGCGTCGCGCCCTGCTGCCCTGCACAGCGCGCGCCCTGCTACCCGCGCAGCCCAGGACGAGCCGAGCCGCCCTACCCAACCTGATCCGCCTGCTACTCGTGCTACTACTGCTGCTGGTGGAGGTGCTGCTAGGAGTGCTGAAAGTGCTGCAGCCTAGCCTCACCGGGCCGCTCTGCTGCCCTTACTGCTGCTGCTGCTCGTGCTGTCGTCTTCCCTCCGAACCGCCCTCCTAGTCGCGCGCCTCGTTGCTTACCCGCTATGACTTCACTTCGTAGTAGCGGTGGGAGTGGTGACGGCGGTGGTGGCAGCAGTGGGAGTGGTGGCGGCCGTAGTAGCAGTCGCTGTGGAGCTGTTCAGTGGGGAGGTTCTGGCGGTGGCCAGATGCAGCTACAGCGTCGTCCGACCCTTACGTCTCGGCAGCTTCGTAAGTGGCTTTGTCAGCGTGGGACGTCCCCGAAACCTGGTCGCTGCACGTACGTTATTTGCACAGGTCCTCGAGCTGGTCAGACCTGTGGGCCATTCAGTCACTCACGGTCCCTCTGCTTCGCCTATTTGTCTGACGCCTGGCACGCACAGTTTGGCGACGAGACTGAGACCCCCCACTGGCTTGAGCTGCTTAGGTCGGGCGTTGATGTCTTTGCTTTAGACTATGACGCCATCCTTACTGCCATGTCTGCTTTGCCTGGTGGTGCTGAGAGTGACTGTTACCTGTGTGTGCAGTACGACCCCGGTATAGAGGTTGCTGCTCTAGGTGCTAGTGAGGGGCTGCCTTAGGTGCTAGTGAGTCTGCTCCCTCAGGTACTGCGCCTGTTGAGGCCTTGCACACCTTCACGCTTGACTCAGGTGCTTCCCGCTGTTTCTTTCGTGACAGTACTGCACTCACACCACTCCCTGCACCTGTTGCAGTGTCTCTGGCTGACCCCTCAGGGGGCCCAGTTCTTGCACGGTCCACCACTGTGCTTCCGTGTCCGGCAGTCCCGTCTGGCTCACTGTCAGGTCTCCACCTCCCCTCGTTCTCGACGAACTTGGTGAGCAAAGCTGTCCTTTAGGATGTCGGGGTTAATACATTCACCCCTGCTTGGCAGCGTGTGGCGATCTGCACGTGTGCACAGACTGGCCGTCACCTGGCCACGTTCACTCGTCGGCCAGGGTCGAGTCTTTACACACTGACGACTGTGTCTCCTCAGGTCGCTGCTGTCGGTCAGGTGTCTGCGTCAGGTCTGGTAGCCTCCCCTTGTGAGTGTCGCTCCCTGTCGCACCAGACTCTTCTCTGGCACCACCGTCTGGGTCACCCCTCCTTGCCACGTCTACGTGGCATGCACCGTCGCCTCCTTGTGTCTGGTCTTCCCAGGTCTCTCCCTCCCCTCCCTGCCTCGCCTGCGCCGCCCTGCCTTCCTTGCGTCGAGGGGCGGCAGCGCGCCGCTCCTCACTCCTCCTCGTTCCCCCCGACAGAGGCTCCTCTGGAGACCCTCCACCTGGACGTGTGGGGCCCAGCCCGCGTTCGTGGACCAGGCGGTGAGCGGTACTTTCTGCTGGTTGTCGACGACTACTCGCGTTACACCACGGTCTTCCCCTTGCGCACCAAGGGTGAGGTCCCTGCTGTCCTGATCCCTTGGATCCGCGTAGTTCGTCTCCAGCTCCGTCGGAGGTTCCGGACGTACCTTCCTGTCCTACGTCTGCACTCTGACAGAGGTGGTGAGTTCACCTCCGACCTCTTGCGGACCTTCTGTCAGAGGGAGGGCATCGAGCAGTCGTTCACGCTTCCGGGCTCACCGCAGAAAAATGGGGTTGCTGAGTGCCGCATTGGCTTGGTCATGGAGATCGCTCGTACCTCCTTGATCCATGCGGCGGCTCCCCATTTTCTGTGTCTTCTTGCCAGACACCACACCCACACTGCGTTGGACGGGAGAGGTTGGCGATGCGTCGCGTTTCCGAGGCTGGCGATACGTCCGCGGACAAGCTCTCCTCCCGCGCCATTCCCTATGTCTTCCTTGGCTTTGTCCCTGACGCGTCTGGCTGGCAGTTTTACCACCCCACCTCGCGCCGCGTCTTCCCCTCTCAGGACGTCACCTTTGAAGAGTCGATTCCTTTCTACCGTCTCTTCCCCTACCGCACTGCCCCTCTCCCTCCCCCGCCGCTTTTTCTCTCTCCAGGTCCCCCTCCGGTAGACCCCCTCCCCCCTCAGGGTCCCTCTCCTTCAGGTGTGTCTCAGGTAGACCCACTCCCCTTGGCTGAGCCTTTGGAGGTCACTTCCGACACCTCTGGTCCAGTTGAGGGGGGTGACGTTGTTGCTGACGCCCCGGCGGCCTACCGCCGCACACCACGCTTGGAGACCCCTCCGGGTTTCCCGCCGCGACCTTCTTCGCCGCCTCTGCAGCCGGTTACTGTTGACTGTGGTGCTGCTGGGGGTGGTGCTACTCGGGGTGCTGAGTCTGGGGGTGCTGAGCCTGTGCGTGAGGTGCTGGGAGGTGTGGAGCCTGGGGGTGCTGAGCCTACGAGTGCGGAGCCTGAGGGTGCTGAGCTGGAGGGTGCCGGGTCGGGGGGTGCTGAGTCAGCTGGCGTTCCTACGGGTCGTGCTGCTGGGGCTGGAGGTCCTGCTGCTGGGGGTGCTGCTGCCGGAGGTACTGGGGCTGGAGGCCTTGGAGCTAATGCTGTCGACTCTGGAGTTGGAGGCCCCGCAGTGCCCCCACGCCGCTCACCACGCTTGGCGACCCCTCCGGGTTTTCCACCTCGACCGTCTTCGTCGCCTCTTCGGCCAGTTCCGGTTGCCTCTGGTGCTGCTGGGGGCGGTGTTGCTTGGGGTCCTGCGTCTGGGGGTGCGGAGCCTGGGGGTGCTGAGCCAGAGGGTACCGGGTCCGGGGGTGCTGAGTCCGCTGGTGTTCCTCCGGGTCTCCCTCTTTCCGCTGCTGGAGCTGCTGGAGCTAGTGGTCGTGGAGCCGCTGGGATCACTGGTGTTTCTGGTTTCGGACGTGCTCGTACCGGGGGTACTGGAGCTGCCAGGACTAGCGGTACTGCTGGAGCTGGAGGTGCTAGTTCTGGGGGTGCTGAGTCTCCTGGCGGTCCTCCTAGTGCTGCGTCGCAGCGGCCGCCTCTCTCGCGACAGCAGCTACGGGAGTGGTGCGATCAGCGCTACCGCCGTCGGGGTGCTGCTGCTGGAGGTACTGGGGCTGGAGGCCCTGGAGCTGGTGCTGTCGCCTCTGGAGTTGGAGACCCTGGAGCTGGAGGTGCCGGTTCTGGAGGTGCTCCTGTTGGAGGCACTGAAGTGGGAGACCCTGGAGCTGGAGGTGCCGGTTCTGGGGGTGCTGCGACTGGAGGTACTGAGGCGGGAGACCCTGGAGCTGGAGGTTCTGGCGTAGTTGGAGGGTGACGCTGGAGCTGGAGGTTCTGCAGCTGCTGGAGGCGCTGGAGCTGGCGGTTCTGGAGGTGCTGGAGGCGCTGGGGTGGGATGTTCTGGATCTGCTGGAGGCACTGGAGCTGGAGGCTCTACAGCTGCTGGAGGCGCTGGAGCTGGAGAGTCTGGAGCTACTGGAGGCGCTGGAGCTGGCAGTTCTAGAGCTGCTGGAGGCGCTGGAGCTGGCGG